ACTCACACACACGCACACACATGCACACACACACACACACACACATGCACAGACTCACACACACACACACTCTCTCTCACACACACATGCACACACTCAAATGCACCCAAACACATTCCTTACGAAAATTAACCATGGTTTTATCATAATAAACGTGTAGTAACCATGTTGTTGTTTTTTTGGCATATTGATTGCCATTTGTATAACCACAGCTTTACTGCTGTACAAATACCATGGTTAATTTGTGGTTACCTTGGTTTAACTATAGTAACCATGTTTTTTTATTTGTAGTAAAACCATGGTTGATTTTCATAAGGGCACACACACATGACAGCTTCATGCTGCTGTTGTCACTTAAAGCAGAAGGTCTGGTTTCAATTGGCTTGAATATAAATATACAAAGTGCAGCTTTTTAAAAGCAGATTATTGAGTGTTTAATATACTCTGCCTCAGGAAGTCTCTGCTGTTTCTGTTCGGAGGGACGTGAAGCCTGATCGCTGATATTTCCTTTGAGATCGCAGCTCGTGATGGCTTTGATCAGCATTTGTGTCGGTCTGAATGTGAAGTGTGTTGTGTGTTTGAGGGCATCGGTTCGTCTCGACTCACGTGAGCATGCAGCAGATCATTAAACACATTCAGCCTTTGACGATTCAGTTGTGTAGTTTTCTCCTTGCTGTCAAACGTTCTCTATGAAGGCTTGTTTTCGCCACGGGATAAAAAAATAAAAATAAAAGGTAATTGTGACTCTCTCACAGTTCAGATTTTTTTCCTCACAATTCTGAGTTTTTCCTCTGAATTCTGAGTTCATATCTTGCAATTCTGTTTTTTTGTCTCTGCCATGGAATAAAACATTAAAAAAGGTAACTTGCACAATTCTCAGCAAAAACATCCTGAAGTCAGTAATGTGTTTTTATATATATATATATTTATGCTATTTATTTCCTCACTATTTGTTTCAGGTCATTTAAAAAAAAATGTTTTTATTGTATTTTATTTTAATTTTATTTACACAATTCTTTTTATGTCTATAAATTATTTTAATTGTGGCTTTTATGTCTTTAACTTTGGCTTTTTCTTTGTGTCAAACATTCTGAATAGCTGTTGTAAATACAATCAAACCAAAATGTATTCAGACACCGTCAACATTTCTCACATTATCTCACAGTTTATTGGCTGTAGTTTAGAAAACGGTAATAAAACATGAGAAGAACTCAGAAGAACTTCATCTTGATAATGTCAGATAACTCTGATAGACAGCTATCTAATATCTGTCAGCTGTTACATTTAATACACAATTAGATAAAACCAATTTAGCTCAACTAATTAGCAAGCAGTGCTTCATTTAGTTCAGTCTGTGGAGTAAAAGATCACATTAGCAATTAAAGAAAAACACTTCAGCAAAACATGCTCGGCTCAAAGTGTCTGAATCATTTCTGATCCGCTAGTCCACTGTATGAAGAGTTTATGGGTGTAATATGCCACAGTTCACTTTATTTTGCTCTCCTCACTTACAGAAATAAACTATAGTGTCCTGCACACACTACTGAAAAATATATCTGCTGTCTGAATCATTTTTGGTTTGAATGTATAATGTGATATTAAAAAAAAATCTTATTTTGTCTAAATCTTACATTAACTCGTCATTTCTTTACCAATGCTTTCTGCGTTTGTTTATGTGTTTTCTGGTTCAGGTACTACATTCTGGAGAACCGTCCGCGTAACATCTATGGCATGGTGTGTCACTCCTGTCAGAACGCTCCTCGAAACATCAAAGAGTGTAAGACCATCTCATTAATGAGACCCTGGAGCACAAAACCAGTCAATTCTGAATAATCTGATTAAATAGCTTTCCATTGATGTATGGTTTGTTAGGATCGGACAATATTAGAAAATCTGGAATCTGAGGGTGCAAAAAAATCTAAATATTGAGAAAATCATCTTTAAAGTTGTTCAGATGAAGTTCTTAGCAATGCATATTACTAATCAAACATTAAGTTTTGATATATTTACGGTAGGAGATTTACTAAATATCTTCATGGAACATGATCTTAATATCCTAATGATTTTTGGCATAAAAGATGCCAAAATGTATAATTGTGACCCATACAATGTATTGTTGGCTATTGCTACAAATATCCCCCAGCGACTTAACACTGCTTTTGTGCTGCAGGGTCATAGATGTGCTCATCTCCTGTCTCCTCTCTCTGCCTCTCTTTGCTGATTTTTATTCAGCGCTGCATAAACACAGTTACGTTAAACGCTTCGGAGGCCCACACACAGTTTACCACAGAATACAGATTCACTAAATTAAACCCACAGCAGGATCTGGATCTGAGTGTTGTAGCATGAGCACAGAACCAACAGCAGGTCATCGGTCTGGACTCCATCAGCCACGCGCTTGCGGCGCAGCAAGGTCCTCCAGATGTATTTTCCTTCTCTTGGCCTGGCTCTGGTGTTTGGCAGATCGTTCATAACACACTGGAGTCTCTGATTAGCGACGCATACCTGAAGCACTGACCGCATGGAAACGACCGCAAACCTGAGATTTAATGCCGCGTAATCCGCTAAACGTCAGCGCAACCATTCCTCATCGCCGTAAATATCCGCGTCTGCTTTCCGCTCAGCTTCAGGAGTCTGCGTTTATTTGGGATGAAATGGCGTCGTTCGTGGAAGAGAGCGAAACTGATTAACTCCAGGTTTGACCGAGCGAGCCAGAGCCAAGCTTTTTATTGTTTTGTTTTGCTAATGTCTTTTTTTAAATCTCTGTTTGTCTTCGGCCATGAGATGTTTCTTCAGAAAGAGAGTGGAAACTCTGATGACCAGCCAACTGCTTCTTACACGAGCGATTTCTAATGAAAATCAAGCTGACTGAGTCATCTTCCTAATCTAATAGTCCAATGAACCTAGTATTGTATATCACAAATAGTGTTGCCTCTCCGAAAAAATGTATTCATTTATTTATTTATTCACCAGATCCCCTCTGAGAGAATGAGAACAACGGTTTGTTAGTAGTCTTATACACCTAGTATTGTGTATCATGAGTATTGTTAGCTCTTTGACTAATTTATATTTTTTATTTAATTTTAATTTTAATTTAATTTAATTTAATTTAATTTTTTATTTTAATTTTATTTTATTTTATTTTATTAAAAAAATAAAATAAATATTTTATTTTATTTTAATTAAATTAAATTAAATTATTTTATTTTGATTTAATTTAATTTTGATTTAATTTTATTTTGATTTTTATTTGATTTGAAAATAAAATGTATTTTATTTTATTTTATTATTTATGCATTCATTTTATGCCCATACATTATTTTAGTTGTGTCTTTTATGTCTTCTTCTTTACGTCAAACGTTTAGTTGTGTATATTATGCACTATATAAGGAATAACTTCTGCTTATATAAATTCTTAATTTTAGTGACAGATTTCAGACCTGTGGTTGTCCAATAAACCTGACATTATATATTACAAAAACGGTTGGCTTTTTGATAAATTGCTTTTATTTTATTTAGATTATTTTATTAGCCTTTACATTTTTATTTGATTTGCATTTTAATTAAAATTTTATTTAGTATTTCATTTTATTTAGAATTTTAGAAATGTAATTAATCTATTAATTTCTATGTGCATTAAGTCGTGGCTTTTATGCTATTGAGATGAACTTGATCTTGCCTAAAGCGTCCATAAATTATTAATTTGCATCCGCTCTGAGAACGAGGGTTCATTCTAAACCTGGAAGTGTGCTGTATTATGAATACTGCTGGCTCGGTGACGAATCGTTTAGTTCCTGTAAGTCTCTTCAGATGAGCATCCTGTAAATAAAGGGGTCTTTGTGCTGGAAAACACGTCTGCGCCGGTCCTGCTGTTTTCAGAGCCTCTTTAATAGTTTTCTATTGTTTGGTGACAGAAATGAAGTAGATATTTAATTAAAAAAGCATAACAAACAGGTCTTTTAAAGCTGTAGATGTGAAAGTATGCAGAGGGAGTGAAGACATGCTCGCACTCGCCGGCTAATCTGCAAATGATGCTCGCCCACAGCGCAGCGTAATAATTAAGTTTCGAGGGAATAAAAAGATGATTAACTTGCTGCTGCTTGCAGTCGACAGGCATGGAAACATGGGAAGACAAACATCCGTGATCTCAACAGGTGATTGGCATTAAATGGATGTGGTAACATCAGATTGATAATGGTTTCTAATGAAGTCGGAGTGCATGGGGCTTCCTTTGGTTTAAGAAAGAAATAAGCAAAGACCTCAAACGTATGAGAGCTTTGACAAATTGTGCTGTTGGTGCGCTCTCGCAGAACTCCAGAGCGCTCGCAGATTTGTGTTTTAGTCCTTTAGGACTGTTAGCAGTCCATATTTCATGTTGGGTTGTTTTACACTAAATCAAATTGTACTCCATCAAAGAACATTTTCAGTTAAAGTGAAGAAAAATCAGCAGCTTTTGGCCATTTAGAATAACTGGTGTTTATATTTTCTGCTCATTTTGCCCTGGAGAGGATTTTCTGTTTCCTGAAGAAGCGAGCTGATGTTACTGGTTCAGTGTTGGCTAGATTAATGACCAAAACTGGAGTTAATAACCAATCCATTACATTAGACATCACAGGTCATGTAATCAGACTACTTTTGACCATACATTGATTTAAATAGGATAATCTTGTACCGTATAGATTTAAAAATATATTCCATTCGTTGTAATTAACAACATTGCATTAGGTCAAGGTTTCCCAAAATGTAAAATTAAAATAAATCATTTTAAAATAACATATAACATAGTATTTGTTTACCTGCATGTCGTGTGAGCAATAACCAACATCAGAGAACCGTGATCATGCAGATGTGTTACTTAATTATTACTTAATTACCTTAAAATCTCAGCGGGGCTTCGAGTAAATATATTAGATGAACGAGTGACATTACAGTACGTGTAAATAAGAAATAATGAATTTGTGCATTACAATGTATAATGTTTAGGAAAATGTAAAGATGAAAAAGAAAGATTAGAGAGAATCAATAAATTATGATTAATAATTGCGTGAATGATATGTAATCAAGTAACCGTACTCTGATTATGAGTATTTTTTATATTGATATTTTAAATATAGTTTTTATTCAGTTTTTTATCAAGTTAAACTAAATGAAAGTGAGAAATGGCAACTAGCTGAAATTAAATAAGTTTAATATTAAACATTTTATTTCGTGTTTTTTATGGTTTTAGTTTTAGTTAACTATAATAACCCTGTTGGACTAAAACTTACTAAATTAGCTCACATGGCGAATAACAACTTCACAAAAAAAATTGATAATTGTTATGCTTTTGGGGATTTTTCTTATTCCTAATTTCCCGGGTTAAAAATAACTGGCTTCTTAAATATCTCTCATTGTGCTATATTATCACCAAATCTTGGATTCAGTCGTCACTTGTTTTCTTTTAATCAGCACAGGTTTTGTGTTTCTTTCTGGATCTGATTGATCGCAGGCCTCACTGATCTGAACTCATGAGCCAAAATTATGCATAAATAATGCTTTTTTCACTCATAAACTGAGGTGCATGAGCTCAGATCAATGAGATCTACGATTAATACGTTCCAGAAAGAAACACAAAACCTGTGCTGATTGAAAGAAAACAAGTGGACAAAACGACCAGATTTGGTGATAAAGAGCAGAATGAGAGATTTAGAAGCGTTCAGGAGATGCAGGAGTGACGAGTGACAGACGCGACACACACTATACTGACTGATTTGATTGAATGTTGTTTCACAGGCATGCAGTCGACGCCGCCGTCACCGGGCCGAGCTCCCAGCGTGTCGTCCAGCAGCACCACCATATTCCCACACGCAGAGAAAGGCAAGAATAAATCATCTTTGCATTGATGTATGGTTTGTTAGGATAGGATAATATTTGAAAATCTGGAATCTGAGGGTGCAAAAAAATCTAAATATTGAGAAAATCATCTTTAAAGTTGTCCAAATGAAGTTCTTAGCAATGCATATTACTAATCAAACATTAAGTTTTGATATATTTACGGTAGGAGATTTACTAAATATCTTCATGGAACATAATCTTAATATCCTAATGATTTTTGGCATAAAAGAGAAATGTATAATTGTGACCCATACAATGTATTGTTGGCTATTGCTACAAATATACCCCATACTTCATACACGATATGCATAAGAAATCTTTAGACGCGTAACACAAACCATAATCCATAACAACGAAAGACAATATTTTATTGAACCTTTTTCTGATGAGAAGTGTGCGCTGCAAACGCGAGCATTTTGACGATCGTTCCGGTCCAGTTCACTCACTTTAATGTGTTTAACCACAGCTGTCATCTGGGTTTTTCTGGCAGTGGCAGCAGGTACAGTATGTGATAACATTTCAAATTGGAGCCTGTACTACGTAAATTCTGGAACCCAACATTACAACAAGACGATATTTTAAGCTCCTCATGTAGCTCAATCTGTGCTGGTTTGTATCAGCCGCCTCCAGTTTTCTCATTATTTTGCCTCCAGCTAGCGCTGTGACATAATTGTGACGTCGGCACAAAAAGGGTCTATAAACAATCAGTCAAAACAAAAAGTCAGTGCAATTGTAGCATTTGACGGTCGTCAAGCAATATAGAATCTTTTACTGTGTTCCAGATCCAACAGGACAAGGTCACCTAGCAACGGCCCTCATCATCGCCATGTCAACCATCTTCATCATGGCCATCGCTATAGTGATGATTATTATGTTCTACATCCTGAAGACCAAACCGAGTGGACAAGGTAAGATCGCTAGAACTACACACTCATTATGCGTGTGTGCGTGCGTGTGTGTGTGTGTGTGTGTGTGTGTGAGAGAGAGAGCGCGAGTGTGTGTGAGAGAGAGTGTGTGAGAGAGAGCGAGAGTGTGTGTGAGAGAGAAAGAGAGAGAGAGAGTGTGTGTGTGTGTGTGTGTGTGTGTGTGTGAGAGAGAGAG